CCCATTTGATTGCTTCTGATTATACTTTATTTTATCTCTTCTAATTTGTGCTAAGGGATTGTAATTCTTACTTCAGATGCTGAAAACGCAGGATATTCTGAATCTGTTGATGTTTTGGATTCGTAACAAAAATTGGTTAACGTGTAAATCACTGTCCAAAGGATGTTATGCCATCTGAGCAGAGAATTTGTTTGAACCACCCGATTCCGCCAAATTTAAACCTGTTTCAGTACCTTAAAACAAAGCATCGAACAGCGTGGTGGTAGACATCTTCTTTTGACGCTTACAACCTGTAAAACCCAACACCCTGCAACCTCATTGTACTCCAAAGCGACTAGTTTCGAGGACAAGTGAGTGTATTGCGTAACACATTGAGGGCGTTCGTTACACTAATAAAACACACTGAAGCACACAGCTGATAGGTGATGATTTCACTTGTGGAGTTCCAAGCTGCCGAAACTACTGCTCTTATTGGCTACTGCTACTCAAGCGCCTTTTCATTGGCCGAGAAATAATCGATTGAAAATGCGTGTTTAAGTGAGTCATTAGAATTTAGATGTGATTTACGTGAATAGTGACTGATCTTCCTCATTCTTCCTCGTCTGCCTTGAACGTTCTTTTTAGCCAAGTAAATTACTCAAACTGCCATTAGCGCGAATGTTCTCAATTAGTCGTCGCATTTAGCTGTTGTTTTTTCGCCTTTCTATTCAAATGCTACAAAACACGATGAATTTTACATGGCAGTTAATCCGAAGGGACGAGTTGAAAAGTTATGGTAGATGTTCCCATTTATGCTTCTTTTTATAAAAAGAAACACGTCAGTTGTCAGCTAGCCCTCACAGTAATCAGACAACTGGTGTATTGCAGAAGCCATAGGCCAATTCATGTAAAATCATCCCACCAACCTGAAAACGCTTCCGAAATTATAAGGGATAACCTCGATAATTCAAACCTCGAGTAACTAACTTCTGTGCGTGTATCGATACGCGCGCGTTACTGGCGACTGCTAACAAAAAATCAATAACAAAGAGGGTGAGTCATTGATCCAGTCGGGAAAGCATGCACGCAGCACTCACGCGCGCTGGCTGTCTGTCCACCACAGTGCATCCACGAAAAAAAATCGATTGATTTGCGTTCGCTCGCGCTGGCAAACTGCGTCCCCTCACAACTGCTGGCTAGCTGGTCGCCACAAGGACTTATAGCATCACGACGAAACGCTCATGCAAGCAGGTTGGATGTGGGTTGATAGGCGATTTCTAGGTTACTTATTTGGGAAAGTCCTTTGCAACCGCACGGCTTCAGAAGATGTGACGCAATGCACGTTTGATGGCCGTTGTAGTCATAAACTACAATGCCGAAATATGCGACGTTCCCAACACAACAGATCTGAACGGCATTCATTTCCATCTGATCGCACACGGCGTGGGGTTGCACGGATGTGGGCAGCTACGCAGAAAATTGACAATCATTTTTCCTCATTAATACGGTTAAGCATTCATGCGTCAATACAATGCATTGTTAATTGATAAAAATAAAATCATTTAACCTGCTTTGTAGTTTGTTTTCTGCAGGTGCGATTTGAGGATGACGTAAAAAAAATTTTTTTGGGAAATCAGCGATCTCACGACGCGATAATTTTAGTGAACCTAAAAAGCGAACCGTTTACTCAAGGTCTTTTGTGTTCGCGCACACCACTGGTCGCATTCACATCGACCGATTCTACCCTGTTAAATTACTCACACTTAAACGCTTTAGTCCAAGGTCACGAAATTGGGCGTTTCACTAAGGCACTTGGAGGAAGAGATGGGTACTTTTGGCGTTGAAAAACGCAGAATGGCGATCAAGGTGCCCATTTTATCAACGTTTCCAGTAGTCAAGCAAAATATTGTAACTGGTCTGGCAAAATGAAGTCGAAATGTCAAGCCTATTTACAAAACGCAATTTGAAATTTCTGCACAAAAACGCATAGCAATGAACCCGTTTTTATTGTTTTCTGATCTTGACGACGCACGTTCTCACAACCACAATCAGTTTCAGAAAAATAAAACAACCAAATTTTAAAAACTCTGATTAAAGTGGACCGAAACATGAAGCTGAAGAAGAAAGGAAGGCGGTTCAACTACGACCTACACGAAGGTGGCGGCAAAGATCCAAGTGAACAAAAGCCACGTAAAGCAGTCAAAATCCGCCGATATAGTGCCACGCAGGCTTGTCGAAGGGACTAATTTTTAAACAGATTGGCACGAAGAATGTTGCTCGCAGAGGTTGAAGCGAGATGAAACTGCACGATCTCTGTGATTTGGCAACCGGTTAAATTGCTAGTCGTATGCTGAGCAGCAAGGACTGCGTGCAAATGCATGTTAAATTATTAAGGCAATCACTCAGCTACAGGTCAGATGATGTTGTCTTGGAGAACAAATTAGGCAACGACGTGGATATTGTCGGAAATGTTGTCGATTGATTTGAAGCAAATTACAATCAACAGCCACTTTCGTGAACTCTACACCATGTTCCACGACTGTGGCACAACGCGTGGGTGAATTGGCATTGTGGAATGTGTCACTGAGGTGATATGTTGCAGAGGGGGAAACGTGGTAAGAGGGTGCTGCCACTGGAATTCTCATGTTGCCTCAACAGGAACCTGCAGTGTGTGTTGGGTGACACGCTGCCTGGTGTAGCCACGGTGATGGATGACGCCGATTAACCCAATCGAATTTGAATCTCCTGCTTCGATGTTGGCATTGATTGGGTGAATCTGTGAGAGTGCTTCTACGCAGTTATTGGTTGGCCAGTTGGGAAGGCCACGGAACAAAGTACTCCCCGTCCAATCCTGTTCACTGGACTTACGAAGGCACCTTGTTTTGGATGCAGTGACTTTGTCAGTGCCCCAGGGACAGGCCGTTCCCCTCCGTGCACATACTTCCTGTCAGTTTGTTGCACCGCAGCCTCATGTCACCTCCAGTTGTGGCTTGATTTATGGCAAACTCGTGTTGTTGATGAGCGAAGAGAGAAGTTGTCGTGGACACCCACAAACCAGGTTACTTTCTCCGAAGCAAAAAAATGTTTTATTCGTTTATGTTCGAAGTACTTTCAAATCTTCTTGTATTGGTGAAGTGTACTGGAATTGTTAACATGCAGCCATTTCACAATATACTTCGTGGTTCTGAATGAGTTCTCTTTGTTTGTTGAAATCCAGTAACAAAAGAAGTGTCTGCTTTTGTTTAAAACATGCGGTTGTGAACTCATATCGCGTTCGTATTTGCTGTCCTTGATACTGTTATCGGCTATAACCATTTAGCAGTGAGTTCCGTTGAGCCACTGTGTTTGTTTGCCAAAGTCTAGGCAGGATTTACTTAATGTCGAAGCAGCCGCGATTACACAACGCCGAGGACTATCCAGCAAAACGGCGGAAATCTTCTCCTTTGTTTAAATTCAACTCTCAGTGTACGAATTTTAAACTTTAAATTCAAACCGGAAATATTGATCTTTTTTTGTTTTGAGCGAATTTCCTTCATTTCTTTTCCCCAAGAGAAAATTGTTTGGTAAATCTCGTGGTTTTAAGGACCCCATATCAGTTGCTTGGGGCAACTTCGTAGAAATGTACGTGAACAAGTTGCCTAAAAAGTTATCATTTAGATATTTTCCAAATGCTGTTCCCACCAATGCAGCAAATATTTTATTCCAGAAAAAATCAGCGTCATAACGTGTTACTTTTTGCCTCACTCACTGGAACGGCGTTGTTAGGCGACATCTGTGAACAGTGACGAAATCCTAAACCGCGATGAGCTGTCTAGGGGAATGCTGGATCCCCAACATAACGACGCCAGTAATTTGAATTCATTTTGTCGTAAAAAGCGCATATTGGCTCGCTGATTGGTCCCTGGCCGCCGCCACTATTGACCAAACGAATCAGAATAATCCAGAATTGGACTATCAGATGTCTATTTATTGATTCAGCATAATTTGTGCTTATTTACTTAAGTTATGCTCAAGTTTCTTCAAACAGTATATCATATTTGAAATTTTTTTAGAAATCTTGGATTGTTTGATAGCCACTGAGAATTGACAGTTTCTGTCCAGCAAAATAAATCACTTGGACAAAACATCTGATTGGATGATGACTAAAAAACTTAGAGAACTTTAAAATTCATTTCTAAAATTCTACCAGCAATCCAATTTCAAACGAACGTAGCCAATGATTTTATTAGTAGGCAAATTTGATTAGTTTACGTAATGCAAAGGTAGAGTGAGTTTATGGTGAGAACGCGGCCTTCATTTTTGCCAAATTACAAATTCCCATGTGACAGGGGACTTATTAAAGTGCATTTTGACCGCAGCATTTACTTCAGTGTCCTCCGAAAGTTAATTAAACCTGACAAATGCGTTAACCTACTAATGGTACATTTTTTCACACAAAACCACAAATTGCTGTCTGAGTTGACTGCCATTGGTCCGTGCAGTAGGAAGACTTGTAAAACTTAGAAGGTGTTCTGTCTCTGGATTACGTCTGCTGTGTCAAGCAGACAGCGGCCATTTCTGTCTAAATATCGATTTTTCGGGCATTGGGGCAGTATAACTTCACAACCATTATCAGTAACATTATATATTTGAATGTAGACCGTTGTTTCAAGTTTAAATAAGCAAATTCAGAAATTTTACCATGATTGGTAATTAAAATTTGGCACTATGATGACAACTTTGAAGCAAACTTCTACGATCATCGTGCCTTATTTCTCTAAAAACATTTTTTTTATTCAGTGCAAATTGTAGTGACAATTTTTAAGCATTCATTGTTAATTCGCCAACTCAAGTATTCAAGCATCGAATTTTAAAATGGGCGTATTCCTTGCATTCGAGTGAAAAACACTTAAAGTGACTTCAAAGGTACACTTTTTCCGTCTGGAGGGACCGAATTTTTCTATTGGTCAATCAAATCAACCAATAGAATGCCGTCAGCAGCATCAGTGCAGACTGCCATATGGCGTTGTTGAAATCCACAAATGCTAAACTCCTCAGTGGCGCCAACTTTAAACTACTCAGAGGTCCCACTAATCCGGTGTTCGTATACTCGCGAAAACGGCGGATGTGTTTTTCTCTTTTTGATTCCATCAAACGTAGTTCGTGGATTTGTTGAAGAAATAGAGTCAGCCAGATTTGAGTATTTGGGCTATCAATGGAAGCTGCGAGTGATTCGCAGCAAGGTGCACATTGGCGCGTTCGTCCATTTGTTGGCATTAAGGCCCTCGACCAACTTCGAGCTGCGTGTGGACCTAGCCCTCACCATCCTCAATAAGGAGCACTTCAGCAAAAACCAGGATTACTTTAGACCGAAGATCTTGTTTACCAGGTTTAACGACAAACACGGCTGTAAGACCCTGATAGAGCTGTCAGGGCTGTGTGCTGACGGGTTCCTTTTCGATGACAACAGCTTTCTATTGGAGGTAGAATTCACCAATCCCAGACTAGACATTGCCCTCCAGTTACACAGTACGTCTGAGCTGCTACGATTCCTGCGCAACACATACGTCGATAGGTATGATGCAGACGACAGTGAACATGGTCCTATCCTCTTCGTATCTGAAGCCTTCAACGCTGGTGGCACGAGCTGTCACCTAGGTCTTTCAATGACTCACGCCAGCGTCTTCGGCCAAGGCAAAGAAGACGACAAGATCTCGCTCTACACCTTCCACCGAAGGAAACAAGGAAGCCAAAACGGCAAGCTAGAAAGGCATTTCTCGTTCATTGAGTTTGCGTGTGAATTTGGGACGCATTTTTCCAAACGGAGGATGCAGTTCATCGTCGATTCCATCAGTGGAATGTCGTCGATGGTGAACCTTAACCAGGACGAAGCCAATGCCGTGACGAGTCTGGTACGCGAGCAAATCGGAACGCATATCGCCAAGAAGGTCCCGTTTAAGCACTTTAACGTAGTCCTTAACGTTAAGCTCAACTCCGTTCGGTTGCGACACCTCATTCCAAAGACCCTTCTTCCACTTCACCCCAAGTCACGACTCTTCTGCGCAAGAGTACTCTGCGAGCGTGGCAACGCCACCTGCGATGTGTACGCCTACCTCAGCGACCTTGACCTCGTTTTTGACCTCCAGGTAGAAGCGAAATCTCACAAACCCCCGGCACATACCAACTACGTCGATCTGCTCTGGTGGCGAGTTTATTCAAACTGCGGCGACATCAACGACCTGGGTGCCTTAACAGACGACTCCACGGTTGCCTTGAGCGCCACGACGGCTCTGCGTCGTTTCCATGGCAACGAGGATTGTCTAAGCAGCCTGGACGTCGAACACCTCGACGCGGTGTTCCGTGATGCCCTAAGTCCATCGCAGTGCTTCATCAAGATGGCCGGAAACAATTTACACAAACAGGCAAGTAGGATAGGTTTAGTTACGCTTAAAATCGATTGTTTCGAGCACTAAATTCTCCCCAGGACAATGATCACTTGGTAAACAGATCATTCAAACTCTACACCACTGAAGTAAGTGCATTACTGAAATGAAGTTTAAGTAATATGGGGCCCAATGATTTGTAGATTAATACGTAATACTTGCTGTCAGAATTGGGAGTGTTTGCGTTAAAACAAGTAAAAAGGTACGACATTTTGATTTTGTACTTTGTTTTAATAAATTATCGAAAAAGCCGTTTGAAGGCCACACATTACCAGTCATTTTTTTCGTTTCTGGTACTTGTCATTTCAAAAATGGCATTTTTATTGACGAAAAATCAAATTTTCTAATTTACAGGGTGAATTTTTGTCCATGAGTGCACATTTGCTACTTATGAGCATCCATATTTCAGTAGCATCTTTTGAATAAAATCGGCTAGTTAAGTTAATTTGGCTGCCCAAAAGAAAATCGAATGTTTGGTGTGGCCGTTATGCGCAACACTTGTAACTTACATTTTTCCTTTCTATAAAAAAAAATGAAAATTAGAGAATTTTGAGGAAACCTTAAAAAGCTAAAATTTTGACCTTAAAAACCAATTCAACCATGCAATCTGAGCCCATTTTTCTGATGTCGAATTCATCATGCAATACCTGAAAAGTTATCTAAATTTATCTTTTAATTTGGTGACATGAGGAAGCTAGTTTAATGGTGATTTCGTCGCCAGGAGCAACATCAATTTTGTGGTTGCCAACTGTAGACATTGAGAAAATTCATTGCCCAAGTTGTAACTCAAAAATTAGGGAATTCAACATAACACATCATCAGCTCTCCGGATTTTAACCTGCTTTCGAATTTTGGTTCAGAAATTGCGCGTGATAGCTGTGTACGAACGAGTAACGAATTAGGGCAGTGTCTACTGAATTTGACCGTCCTGTTTAAGTAGTATAAGCCCCTAATGAATTAAAATCGCAGCGCAATTGTATGACCTGATGTTGCATATTCATTAGTTTAGGACACACTCTTTCCAGAGTTCAGGTTGACACGAAGAACTCTGACAACCGTCATTGAGAACTGACGTGGAAATAGCCCGGTGATATTTGCACGAGTAACATTCGTTAAGGACAAAATTTTTGTCGTGACATGAATTATTTAAGTGAAATGATTAGTAACTTGCAGCATGCTTATTGAGTCGAGTTCAAGGACCCGCTTAACCTATAAAATCCTCTATTCCTTTTACTCAAATGCTACTAGTGCAACGCTTTTTTATTTGAGTAGGTAGTGCCTGCTCACGTCGAGCTATTTTTAGCCATAAATTAGGCATAAAACGACTTCCGGAAATGCAAATTGGTAAATTCACACAACACTCTGACAAACGCGCATTTTCATTTCCGTAGATTCTAGGGCTGCATGAGATGTCCGCAGTGATAAAGCCAAGGTGTAGCAACCGACACTCCCGCACACAAAAACAGCACTTTTAACGACCACTTACTTCATACCGCTGTTTTCAAAACTTGTTTTCTAGACCACTCGTTTACTCCCACAACCAGAGGGTTTTATGTCCTAGTCGAATTGACGCATGTGGCGGGAATACTGAATTGTCTCCCCCTTTCAAATGACGCTCTGTGATTCTCGGGACAATAAAATTGACAATTTACTGATTTCCTGTCATTAAAACCACCGTTGGAGGTAGTTTTTCCGGAAAAAAACGCCAATCTACATTGTAAATATAGAGTAAGACCTGCCATCAAACCATTGTAATTGTGTTTAAAGGTTCAGATTGATGTTAATTTAACGAAAATAGGCATTTCTGCGTCGTGTTTGGGCAGACCGCGCTTGTCACACAAAGTACACCTTGTTAGAATTTGTCCGCATCTGTTATCGTACATAATTGTACTAATATGCGGCTTTGCGTACATTCGCAAACACAAGTGTTCTGCTGCAGTCGTATTGGAATTATTTAATAGGACATCGGTATCGTGTCAAACAACTTATTTTTAAACCAATCACGATGGCTCTAATGTGTGTAGGCGTCGCGGTAAAATCAATTAGATCTGATTTAAACAACTGAATTTGCCTGTGTGTTTCCATATTGCAGCGTTCTATGTTAACTTTTGTTAGCGATGTTTGGGCAATCAAATGCAAAAAACGACAAAGGGATATGGAACAATGAAGGGGACCTTAATTTTCTAAATGCCTGATCGATTACAAATGCAAGCGCATTGGTGAGGATATCGATCGTGCACCCGCTCCATCGCAGTCCAATCACATTTGAGAACAGTTCAAGGCTGGGCACAGTGATTGGCTAAGTGATGTTAGCTCTTTACACGCCTCGGAATGGTCCTGTTTCTAACTCCAAATTTCAGCCGAATGAAGAATAATCGAACGCATGGTGCCCAACTCGACAAAATTCACGGCACCTGCCTTGTCTTTAAATGTGACACGATTTCGTCGTGTAACTTTAAAAAAAAATTGTCGTCAGACTTCCAAAGCCCTCAACACGCATAGATGACTTCGTCAAACACCCGAAATTGTTCGTTGAAAGTAACTTTATTTTTGGTTCCATTTGGATCTATTAATATCCAGGTATCAAAATAACTGAAGCTGTTTTTCAATAAAACCTTTTAAGAAGTTCCTCATTAGGATCATCGTCTACCGGTTGACTACATTTCACGTCATTTTACTGAAAGACGTGTGTTCACAGGGCGTACTAAAGGCTTCTTGCCATAAGAACACAAAGTACACTGTTAAAATCCGCGCGTGATTGCGTGGAGGATAGCGATTTCCCGTTCACTCAATTCCTCGCAATGTGCGATTTGGCTAAAAATTAGTTTTGTGTGAAAAAAGTACAGTATTTTCGAATTTTTTCCATGTAAAAATTAATCGATCGCTCTAGGATCTACAGCGCCAAACTTGTATTTAATCTGAATGAGACATGAATGTTTTAAATAATTTAAACCTGCATTGTGGGTCATATTTGCTGGAACTGCATGGATTAATTATTTAAGTAAAGCGCAATTTCTAGTGGAGCTCAGCAAACCAAAAATACAATATTTTTTTCACCGCAACAAACACTGCAGAATGCGATTGCCACACTTGCACTAAAATTATACACACGATGGTTCATTAGAGCCGAAGGTGTGTTTTACTGCAAATTGACTTTAGTTTTGAGAATGAATTGAATACGGGAGACGCCATTTGCCTCTTTTTCATAACGAGGTGATGCATTAGAATAAAAATTAAAATCAAAGAATAATTCACAACGGAGGCACGAGGACGTTTAGCAGCCGTTGAGGTTGTTTTAATCAAGTGCTCCATGACGCGGCAAATTAGTGTTTTCTTTCAACTTGCTTTTTTACAGCCGCCGATGAGCGAAGCATGCGGCAACTGCCCATGATTTTGTAAATGGTTTTTTTTAACTGAAGTTATGAGTTTTATGATCAGAAGCGTTCGGGGTACGTGGTACTTTGACATTTTGGCTTAGCAAGTGAAAATTCGCTGGGCGAGATAGCTCTAGATTTGCTATTAGGTATAACAGCCCTGGTTCAAACCTACCGCCCATTATCCTATTGGCTCTTTTCGATTTTAATATGTCACCAAGTTTATCGGTTTGTTCGTAGCATTTTATCCCAGAGCAGTACTAAAGCTGTAATTATCCAGAAAAAGTCAACAAAAGGTACATGGACTCTAGTAATGATTTCTTGTAGTAATATTTTACCGTGTCGGTTAATATAAGCTGTGAATTATCAAAGATTTTACGCAGAAAATCCTACAAAATTGTAAGGTATAAGGATGAAACTCTTATGGATTACCACGTATACTCACGTTGACAATCGATTGCCACGCATATTCACTCGTCCTGGCGATCGATAACAAGCCAACTCATGGACGCTTCTCATTGGCCACGATTTAATCGAATTCGCTAATTTGATTGGTCTACTCTTGTGTACTGAAGTGTTTCTGTGCTGTGCAAATTCTGTTGCCAACGCACAAATGAGATGGTTGAACCTGCAATCCCTCATCTCTCCTTAGTTCCTGGGTGCTAGAGGTTGTGAATTCGCAGGGTCGTGGGGTGATGCAGCACCAAGGTTAGTGGAAACAAAAATGATTTTTTCGACGAAAAACTTTGAAAGAAACCGAAGGCCTATACAATTTCCATGACAAACTCCGTAACAAAAAAATACAGCCGTGAAAGTAGGAGAAATCACGGTGCATAAGGACTGGTTAATTGTATTGTAGTACAAAAAGTTACTACAAATGCATAAAAATCAGGCTTTTTAAGCGAATGAACAAAGGATCAGCATCGCAAGTTACTTTCATGTTAAACCACAGCATTTTGCATCGCTTTCATCAAGAAAAACTACCTCCAACGGTGGTTTTAATAACAGGAAACCGGTAAATTGTCAATTTTATTGTCCCGAGAATCACAGAGCGTCATTTGAAAGGGGGAGACAATTCAGTATTCCCGCCACATG